CTCAATTATTCCCTCTCAACTACAAATTCAGTTATTGTCCATCTATAGCTACTTTATCACAATTACATGATGCATTACAATAGTGTTTATCCTTCTTTTGGGGGGTATTTTTATTTTCATTTATTTTATGCATTTACCTCTGATACACAACTTTTTGTATTCATGTGTAGACTCCATCAGAAGCTAAATATGTTCCAGGGGCCATAGAGATGCATTACATGGTCTACTCAAAAGCAAACGTTTTCACAGTGGCTTTAGTGCCAGTTGCCATTCAAAATCGGAACCACCCAATGTGCTTGAAATGATGGTCAATTCATCATTTAAGGTTTAAAATAAGAATTTATAATATAGGGAAAGTAATAGAGTATTTCGCTTCAGATCAGTGTTTAGATTAGCTCAGGTAATAAACACACAGATATATTCAGGGTTTAATTAAATATTTTTGTTGATATCATTTTTTTTAAATCATTCTATTGGGGGCTTGTACAACTCTTATCACCATCCATACATCAATTGAATCAGGCATGTTTGTACACATGTTGCTTTCATTCTCTTCCAGACATTTATTTTCTATTGAGCCCTCGGTACCAGCTCTTTTTTTTCCTCCAACCTCCGCCACCCTCATAACCCCCCGATACATTGTACATTGTTATTATTTTCATCTCTCACACTGACCGCTGTCTCCCTTCCCCCATGTTTTCTGTTGTTCTTTCCCCTGCAGAGGGGTGTATGGTTTTATGTGAAGATCAATGTGATCGGTACCCCCTTTCTCCCTTCCTCTCTCCCGCTTCCCCCTGCCCTTCTGGTACCACTATTCCCACTCATGTTCCTGGATTCTGCGTGTCGTGAGCTCCCATCCCTTTCTGTACCTGTGTACATGTTCCAGTCTAGTCTGAATTGGGAAGCAGCGCTGGGGTCATGGTAATGTGGGGGTGAGGAAGCCTCAAGGAGCCAGAGGGATATGGTGTGTTTTATCAGTGCTTTACTGCGCCCTGGTGACTCATGCCCTCCCTGGGGGCCCTCTGTGGGGAGATGGGTTGTGTAAATATATATATAGTATGTTTCTTCAAAAATAAATAAATAAATGAACTCACTCCAGATTCGTTATCCTTCCAACCTAAATTGTGGTTTGAGCGGCTTAGGAAGCAAACAAAAAAAAGGAGAAAAAGCAAAATTGAAATGGACTTGGAGTCTGTAATGTCAAACCGGTTCACAACAAACACAAACAAAAGATAAGCTGAGGTACTACAGGACCTGGTCTACCAGTTTTTCTAGATTATCTGTGTGTATGCACTAAAATCTATTTTTTAAAATAGATTTGAAAGAATTATAAATTGAATCAGAAAATAAATTGGCAGCACTCAAGCCGAGGTAAAACAAATACTGAAAAATCTGAACTCTCAAAATTTGTTTTAAATATTACTTATTGTACAGCTGTCTCAATCCATTGTCTTGTGTATATATAGTTCCATTTGACTTTCCTCCTACTATAAATCTATGTGACCAGTAATAGGTTCCAAGAGCAGACCAAACCAAACCAAACCTGTTGCTGCCATGTTGATTTCAAGTCATATTGACCCCATCAGCTGGAGTATAACCTCATAAGATTTCCAAAGCTATGAGTTTTAATAAAGCAGACTGCCACTTCATTGTCCTGTGGAGCAGTTGATGGGTTGGCTTCACTGATCTTTTGGATGAATACTCAAATTGTTATATCACAAGAGCTATTTTTATTCATTGTGTGTAATTATAAGTTGAGTTAGTTAATTGTGCCAACCTGGCCGATAATCACATGTGGGCCTAATTGAAAGGCAGAGGGATAAATGGGTGGTGAGCCTCGCCTTTCGAGTTCCAGGGTCTCTTGCTTTGTGATGGTCGCACCAGGATGCAGCTGCCTTAGCAGTTCTCTGCTTCAGCTTGCAAGATTGACTTCCTACAAGACATCCCCAAGGAGAAGCCACATGGACCTATTCTGATGCAGGCCTGGGTGCTGGAGCAGCCGTGTGGAGACTCCTGCTAGGGCTGAGATGCTTATTTATTCACTGACTCAGGTTTCCTCCTGCAGTCGGCATCATTGCCTCTGTTTTGTAAGGTGGAGGACTTTGTGGACTGGTGTTGGGTTAATGGGTTAATGTTGGACTTGTGGGCTTGGGCAGCAATAGGTTGGGATGGTTTCATCATGAACTCTTTCTTTACATAAAACTCTCTTATACATGAGTTGCTGTGGATTTGTTCCTCTAAAATCCTAGAATAATACATAAGTCAATAACTTGATATATAGGTTGCATTGCTGTCTCTCTTCATTCCTTCCCCCTCTTTAATCTAAGTAACAAATAAAATTTTCTTTCCTAAAATGTTATTTGAAAATTAAAAATAAAAACCAAACTTGACAATATTTTAAATTTATCTACTTTAAAATATTTTCTGCTTTATTTTCAATTAATGTTTTGCTCTCTGGTATTTCGTCAATTTTTCCAGGTTGGTCCTCTTTTTTGTCTTTATTTTGTAAATGTTTCTGTCTAGGACAGTCAGGGTGGGTGGACCTATGAAGACAGCTACTGCATTAATGATTACCTGGGGGCACAGGAGGGGAGAATGGAAAAACTATGGAGTCAAAAGCAATGACTATAAAAAGGAAAAAAATGTTTTTAAGTTGATTGTATTGGTGATTGAACAACCCTTTTTAGTATTATTGAATGATTGAACTATATGGAATTTTAATTATATCTCAATAAAACTTTTTAAATATTTGCAATTATTATGTTAAAAACAAAAATGAACATTATCTTGTCAAGACTTATGAGATCATTAATGCTGCTTCAGCTCAGAACTTTTGAATGTTTTCATGAAAAGTATACATATTTACGGTTGGTTCAATAGCATAAATGATACCTGAAGTCTGAGTGATTTCATTATTCTAGGGGCTTTCTATTTTGATAATGCTTCAACAGACAAGAAAATATTTAATCTTATTGGAAGCCTGTGTCACAAAGGAAATCAAAATATGGGTAAGCTCATAGGAATGTGGCAGATATACTGAGACCTTGTTTATTCGGACTACCTACCCAGTGAACATACAAGAGTACTCCCAACATGCACAACATCCCCCTCTAAAAATCACCCAAGAGAATTTTCACCAAGAGAATACCTAACAACCACTGACGGAATGTGAAGCAAGCAGTTTGACAACATAAATCTAAACTTAAACATATTCTAAAATGGAATCCTAAATTTAAGTATAAGAATATCCATTTTAAGAGTAAGTTGAGAAAATTTACTCATCTTTCAAGTTTACACTATTTTTATCTATCAAAGATAAGATTCAGAACATTAGCCTGCCAATATCATGCCTGCACAAATTCTTTTGAAAATAAAAGCATGTGGTTTTAATCTCCGCATTTATCATTGTAAGCATGGGTTGCCTGAATGTATTTTCCTTCTATCATAATACTTCATTAACAACATATTATGATTTAATTAGCAATTTGTTATGAAGAAAGCATAAACCATTGTAGGACATCTGTACAAATTGCATTCGTTTCACAAGTTTCATGAGGCTGTTATTCATGTGGATAGATATCTGTATTTTTGAGGTGTAACGTGATAAACGTGGGTCTGTCATTTTTCTATTTGACACCTTGTTAATGGTTCTTTATTCTTAAAAATTTTAAACAGTAATTTCCATCATCAGTTTAATTTATAGAATTAGTCGCGACTACACTGTGTGATCTTGTCAGATTCTTTCTCCTTTTCTTTGACAGTAATGAACTACTGAAGTAGCATACCCATGTTTTGAAAGAAAATAATTAATTGAGAACTGATGTGCTCATATCAGCATTACTTTTTTTCCATGTGATCTGAAATATCAAGAGAAACTTATTTGATGTGGAATCCTCTTTTCATAAATATTATGTGTCAAAAGACATTATGTACATCACCCCTAAGCATTAATGCAGTATTCCTTCAAATCAATTAAATAAACCCATTACATTAGCACATACTTGACTAAGTCAGCAACTCTGCCACACTTATTCTATCAATATAAGTGGAAAATATGGAAACCAGCAACTCATAATGACCGCCATTCAGATCAGGAAGGACAAGCAAAGGTAAAAAAGGATGAATACAGAAGGGGGGAGCAAGAAAGGAAATGCCACACAAAGACAGTCGGGCCTTGGGAACTTTGGACAAGGGTAGCTCAGGGAACCAGTGGATCATAAACAACATTTTGGTATCATGTAATAATATCTTAATGTTCCTTTGAAAAGGGTTCATAAATGTATTTTTAACTGACAAAACTAACTTAACAGTTATTCTCTGCCAAACCACTAATGATTTTGATTAAGACATTAGAATAAAAAATATGTAGCAGCATTTTTCAGAATCAAATATATATAGCTATTTATGCTCATGAATTATATATATGCATATATATGGAATACACACACACATGAGTTGTAATGTATTCCAGATTAATAGGTTTGTTTTGTTTGTTTTGAAGGAGAAAAAATGTCCTGAAGGATTTGGGGTATAGAGGCAGAATTTGTTTACTCGCTACATGAAAATGTATAAACCCTATTTAAGTCACTGCTCAATTTTGTATGGCTTCCCCAGTAAGAAAAATTCCCTTATATGAATTTCTAGTTGAATTTGTCCTGTGAAATTAAATGATAGATAGATAGATAGATAGATAGATCGATCGATCGATAGATAGATAGATAGATAGATGATAGATAGAACACATCGCATCGTATAGTGGCCTAGTGGGTCACCCTATGGGCTGATAATCCCAAAGTATGCAGTTCTAACCCACTAACTGATCTTTGAGAGAAAGGGGAGCCTGTCAGTTTGTGTCAATAAAGATTTACACCTGCGGAAAATCCAAGAGGAATTCTATTCTGTCATATGCGCTCCTATGAGTCAAAATCAACTTAATGGCTATGGCTTGCATGTTTGAGTGAACATTATGTGTGTGTTTTCTCATCTTCATGTTTTTCTAGGTGATTCAGATCATCAGTGCAGTGGATAGAGATGAATCTGTAGAAAAGCACCAGTTTTACTTCAATCTATCTATAGAAGACACAACAAACTCAAGTTTTATGATCATAGATAGCCAAGGTACTACCATTCATTCATGATAATTTTTAAATCATGCTGAGCAAATCATGTGTGATTTTAACAGCATGTATAACACTGCTCCTACAGCTTGACATTTTTCTTGAAATAGCGCAAAGTATAATGGGAAAGGAAACCAATGCTCAAAACCAGATGTTGAACAGCCCGTCCCTTGTCACTCAAGGCCTTTCTTCCAATTAAAAGCACAGTTCTAGTCATCCAGGTGGGTTAGTCCTTGTAAAAGTCTCAATGACTGAAAATGTAATTGCAGCTCTGACACCATATTGCTTTTTATGCATTGATAAAATGCAAAACTCGCTCTATGTCTCGGGAGCAGATGATAAATACTATAATGCTAGTTTGAATGATTCCAATGTATTTGGAGCTTTTAATTATGACCTCTAACATATGAGCTTAGTTTGATTCTTTTCCCTTTTCTTTATATATTGGGAATTATTTTATCAACATAAGAAGAAACCTTGTGTGGTGTTGATGTGAAAATATTTAGAGTTGACATGTGTCAGAATTCACTCTATGGCAATATATTTGGTTTTCTTTGTTTTTAAGGGAGAAATGCCATGAAAGACTGTGTGGTGAAACCAAATCACTTTCTTTTCATAGTTCCCACTATGCATTAAATTCATATAAATTAATTATTTTAATTTTTGAGTGTTTCAAGAGAAGAGGGTTTATTTATTTTGATGTCCATTTGAGTTTCTAGTTTAATTTTTCTTTGTATCTCAAATCTATGAAAATCTACAGAAGTTCCTACTCATATGTTTATACTCAAAGTATGCTCTTGTCATTCATTACTATTGCTGTGAAGTTTAGGAGCAGGGGGATCTTTTGTGGAACAGAAAATGTAGGGTTGTTCTTCCTTTTGCCCGCCTCAAATTCCCTAGGGAGAGAAACTCAAATATACTTCAGATAAAGGGGGAAAATGCTTGCACAGAAAATAATCTCTAGCTTAGATTTGTTTCTATTAACATAAAATGCATTTCCAAGGAAAAATAAGTACATTGAAACATAAAAAGAAGAATATATTTGGTTTAGTATTTATGGTTGAAAGTCATTTAATAAAAACACACAAAAATGTAAACTTTCTCTTGCATCTTAAATATGCCTAGTAAATAAAATCACATGGTTTTAATGGTCCTTGAAAACATGACAATTGCTTTAAAATATAATTCTAGAAAAGTCATGAAGAAGCATGCATTTCTAATGATTTCCATTTCTTTGTATTTTTATTGCAATTGTCTCCTAAAGTTTATCTGACAAAAATATCAGAAAATATTTTTGTGGATGGCAATCAAAAATGAAGGGGGGGTAGGAAAAAACAAAGCAAAAGGGAAAATAGCTTTGAGACACAAGAATTTGCACTGAAAAGGCATACATAGAATATTCTGGGATGAATGTGCTCGATGTATGCAGTGTTCCTTTTGGTGTTCTTTTGTTTTATTATTTTTACAGTATTTTCCTATATAGATGAATGATGCAACAACAAATGTTTAAGGATTTCCTATATTTTATATATAAAGTTGGTTGATAATGTCAATGTAAAATCAACTATCATTTTGTTTAATTGGGAGGCTTTGCTTTTAAATCATTTTGATAAGCTAGTATATTTATAGTATTTATGATGACAATGGGTTCCAGCTATTTAAAAAAAATCACTGTGTGTCATGTGTAATTAACTCAAATGAAATTGATTCTGCCATCATACATTTAGTGTGGGTAGCCCCTATAAAATATTTATTGGTATTTAATTACAGCGGCTGTTTTCTTTTCTGCATTTCTATCTGGGGCTGATTTAAATAATTCATCTAACTACATGATTAGAGTTTAGGTAATGTCAAAAATAATAAAGCTGTTTTGACTGATTCACTATCTTTTTTATGAAAAATGCTCTCTTCCTCTTATTGAACTTCATCTGATCTTACTATGATACTATTACTCCTAATACCTATGACTTGTATCGGTTCATATATTTATTTATTTATTTTTAGACAACACAGCAAAGATTTTGACTAATAGGACTGGTTTTAGTCTTCAAGAAGAACCTGTATTCTACCTGCCCATTGTAATTTCTGACAATGGACTCCCACCCCTCACGAGCACAAACACCCTCCCCATATACGTCTGTGCCTGTGATGACCGTGGTAATGCAGAGACGTGCAGTAACCGGGATCGCATGCTAGCCAAGGGATTCAGGACAGAAGTCATTATTGCTGTGCTGATCTGCGTCGTGATAATATTTGGTAAGAAATGCCCAGTGATATATCTTTTCATCCATTTAAAATAACACGATGCATATACAAAACAACTCCTTCCAAAAGAGCTATCTTGTTTTTGTTGTGTGTGCTTAATTACTCTCTGATTTTATTACAATTATTAAAACCAGTAAACAAAATTAAAAAGCACAGTTGGTACATGCAGCTGAAATTTATTAAGCCTTGAATTGTAGGAACATGTGATTATGTATGCGCTCATCTGCTTATACATGTTTTGGACACCTTTATGTGGCTATAAATATTATATAATGACTAGAATAGTGGACTTCTCTTGAGTGTTTATCACACCCCAGGAGACATTCTTCAGTGCTTTCTATGCACCATGCAATCTAATTCTGACAATAAATGCATGACTTAGCAACTTTCGCCACCTGCACTGTGATGGGGAAAATGTGTGTCACAAACAGTTATACTTTCAACAGAGCACAGCTGCCTAGAAATACGAGAAAGTTAAGGGTGGCATGGAGGACAAAGGTAACAGCAAGAGACGTATTCAAAGGGCTAGGCAAAAACAAACCTCAGGAAAACAATTTCATGTTATTTCCTTGCTTCCAGAACCAGTAGCGTTAGTTTACTCATCTTATAATTAAGTGAACTCACTTTTATCACATCAATTCTAACTCAGAAGGCCCGAACTATCAAGACATGAAACACTTTTGCTTCAGCACACCATTATGTAGCATCTGAACTCCGTTCTTGATTCTCTGATAAATTTTCATTAAAATGCAACAGAAGCCATGATACCCGCTGCTGGTTCTGGAATGCCAACCTCAACCATCAAACACATCCACAGTTTGGTACGCTTTGCCTTCACACTCACCTTTCTCAAAGCTTCCGAAACAAGGCATTCCTAGTTTGTCACTGAATATGGCCAGATTTTCTTTATCCCTACTCCAATTTCTCAAATTGCTTTCAATGACCTTTTTATGATAAAGCTAAATGTAGAACCCTGTAAGTTAGTCTCAAAAACAAAACGCTTAAACATAGTTCATGGTTCAGGGACTTTAGTCAAAAGAAGACAGCTTCACAGTCAAAGGGTTCAGTCAGATTCACAGGGAGAGGAGTAGGTGCCGACTAGTGAAATACCCTTCGAGAGTTTCATAAGTCATCTCTCTAGTTCACGAATTGGAAGACAATTCCTTATACCATCTTCTATTTCAAGTACTGGAGGGTAAGTTAAAAAAAAAGCTACTAGAGTTAAAGTTAATACAAGCATAGATTCATGCCCTTAAAATGTCTTTAAACATGGCTCTGTGATCTGTGGGTGCCTACAGACAAGTTCTCACTGTAATGTATTTGTCCTAATCTCTTTAGGATGTCTTCAAAACAGACAAACAAAACAACAACAACAACGCTTATTAAAACAAAGGCTTCAGAGGAGGTCTTTCAGACCAATTAAATTCAAGACACAGAGTTCAGCTCAGAAGGTTATGCTGACTGACAGGATGATCATGGGGACTTACTATTAAGAATTTATAGGAAAATTGAGAATTGTATTGATTTTGAAAAGGACAGCAAAGCTGAAATAAGTAATTTTTCTTTTCCCAGCATGACGATCCACCATCTTATTCACCAGGGGTAGAAAACGTAGCCCTATGAGATTTTTCACTGAGGAGGCCAAACCTCCTCATTCTGTTGTCCTAATTTTGACCCTCCAAACTCATCCCCATTCTCCAAAACTCAAATAACAGTGAAAAGGAACATATTTCAATTCCTCCAAAAATCACATTTTGACATGGTGCCATTGATTATTGCAGAGTTCTTTGAGAAAGGGTTAGAGAGGGAAACACTGTTTCCAGAAGTGCACAGACTTATATGGGGGCTATAGTAAGAAATAACTGCTTCACATTTTGATATGTTTATTTAATAAATGTTTCTATGCTTTAGCAGCAGTACTTTTTGATTTACACCTTTATATAACAGATTAACTTACAGTTCAGTACCTGAACTATTTCAATTTTTTTAAATGTAAGTTGTATATAAGTTAGAATATTTGTAATATATATGTATAACAATATTCATAGTTCATCATTTTAAGCTCCATATATGAAATTTTGACAGCTATGTAGACCCCAATGAATATAGACTTTTTATTTAAAACAAAGCATATACTGAATTAAAAAAATACTGCTACATGGTATTAAAATTGTCTAAAATTTTAAAAATGTTGATTTTGAACAAACTAATCTTATGATTCACAACCTTTGGTAGTTTGAGATTTTTGAAACTAATGTGGTACCACACATCATAGGTTCCATTCCAATTTTGTAGTTTTAAGGTCCAGCATTTGAATTATGGGATCCTTGGTGCCAATCCCCTCATCTGTAGTAACTGACAATAATAATAATTGGCTCAGCAGTTTATTAATGGGCTGCAAACTGAAAGATCATGGTTTGAGCCCACCCAGCAGTTCCGATGGAGAACAGATCTGCTTCTGTAAAGGGTAGCCACTGCCATCAAGTTGGGTCCCCTCATGGTGAACTCTAAGACTGAATAACTGTGGAACCAAAGAGTAGAACTGTCCTTTGAGTTTCCCATATTTTAAATCTTTATGGAAGCAGGTAGCCTCATCAGTCTCCCTGGTGGGTTCCAACCAATGAACTTAGAGTTACTGCCATGTGTAACCCACTACATCATCAGGACAGAAACCCAATGGGGCAGTTTTAATCTGTCCTACAGTCTAGATATGAGTGTCCATCAATTCAACTGCATATCACCACCCCCAGTACCATTCCACCCACCACCTCCACCACCACCAACCCCCTCAAAACCACCCACCACCTCCAGAAGGGTTCAATCAGCAAATACTGTAATGCTTTTATCACCATGTCTGGTGATTCTTTGTGGCCAATCAGTATTATCCTAAAATTTGAATATTATCTTAAATGTGAAGTTAAATTAGATGCTAAGTTAAATATACTGCTGCACTTTCTTTGTCAGGGTTTATCTTTCTGATCCTGAGTCTGAAACAAAAAAGAAAACAGATTCTGTTTCCTGAGAAGAGTGAGGATTTCAGACAGAACATCTTCAGATATGATGACGAAGGGGGCGGAGAAGAGGATACAGAGGCCTTTGACATTGCGGAGCTAAGGACCAGCACCTTCATGCGTGAGCGCAGGGCTCGCAAGCACGCCCCCTCGGAGATCCCCAGCATGTACAGGCAGTCTCTGCAGGTGGGCCCAGACAGCGCCATCTTCAGGAAATTTATCCTGGAGAAGCTGGAGGAGGCCAATACGGATCCTTGTGCCCCTCCATTTGACTCCCTTCAGACCTTTGCCTTTGAGGGCACCGGGTCCTTAGCTGCATCCCTGAGCTCCTTGGGCTCTGACGTCTCCGATCCAGATGACAACTATGATTACCTGAATGACTTGGGACCTCGCTTTCAGAGATTAGCTTGCATGTTTGGTTCTGCGATGCAATCAAATAATTAAGACTTTCTATTATGACTGCAGTGTACAAGATGCTAATGTGGGTTGAGGTGGACTGGTCCTCGCTTGGTAAAGAAATCAAGGTCATGTAATGATAATACACTCATAAAGCAGCTGTTTGAAAGCAAACAAAGAAGCAGAAACAAATCAAAGCAAACCTCAAGGTATACTCTTTGTTGATTCCCTTGGATAAACACCATGTTGTCACATCAAGTTACACACAGGATGGAAGCTGACGGCAAAGTTTGGGAGAGGTGCTCTACTCAGTTCTTGGGTAGCCATACTGTAAACTGGCTTTAGCATTTCACGGAAGCAGTCTGCTGGCTTTCTTTCCATAAAACCCGATCTGTATTCTAAGTGTTTCTGAGTGCTTACTAGGAAAGGCCATGGATTAAGCCATTTTTATATGACATCATTTATATGTTCTACTTTTAAAATCTGCAAACAAGAGTCAAGTCTCAAGGTGTGTAAAGTTCCTGACACTATTTGAAAATACTTTTAGTACTAGAAGAACGTGGGTGACTGTATGCAACGTTTAAACAACTATTTCCTGTATATGAATAAGCGGATGGAGTTTATGCTTCATTCAGGTTACAATTTTAGGACTGATTTCAAATTTGGAAAAATAACACATTTGATATTAATGCAGCTGAACATTAGGGAGCTGTATTAATTTTGATATTTCTACTTTGTGTAAAAGGGGAATATGAAAATATATTTAAGAAATTTTCATAGATTATTTTCAATGCAACGAAAACAGTTTTGCATTACATCAAAACACAAGGGCAGTATGTATTTCAGGATTGGTCATTATGACCTTTAGACTTCTTAGAACTTCTGAAAAGTCTGTAAACTATTTAAATAAATTTTATTGTAAAGAAACAGGATATAGAAACAAGAAATAAGTAGTAGGTTCATGCTTGCATTAATATTCTTCTTAGAGAGTATAATGAAATGCACTGTCTTTTACTATGCATACAATAAAGCATGATACAGTTCTCACAATCACTTTTTCTTTAAGAGCATAGAATATGACTGATACTTCTGTGTCATTTTTTTTATTGTGGAATATAAAATTAGGTACATTAGCAAGTTTTATTGCAACATTTTGAAGGAACTCAATGCTAAGCTGCTGGACATAAAGCTTAATGGTAACAGTGATAATAAGGTAATAAAATGCTTTAATTTTAACCCACCTTCTGGAGAAAGATCTTTATTCAACCCAAGTCAAGACAGTATTAAAAATTCATAGTTTGATCAAAAAGAGAGTATTGCATATAATATTCATAAAATTGGCTTATATGGTCATGCTAATAAATAGTATGTGAGTCTGAACACATGCAAACTGGTGATGTATATTTAAATCAACCATTTCAAGTAATTTTGACCAATGAAGAGAAGAGTCAGCTCACCTCTATTTCCCTGAACTTGGAGTTTGAAATATCCATGTCATTTGACAGTGTAGAGGTTTTCAAGAACATGACACATATATGCTTGTGTGGTTGCTATATGTCACCACAGTCAAACACGCTGAGATAGACTGATGTGAAGAATAATGATTTCAGATTTATTTTTTAATGAGAGAACATAAATTGGAGCAAATCCTTAATGACTTATATCATTATTTACTTATGGAAGAGTTTTTTGTTTTTTTTTTGGTTAATCAACCAAAGAATTCCTTAAGAACAAAATAAAGGAAAGAAAAATCTCAAGTAAAATTGCAGTATACAAGTGGAGAAAAGTGGTTTGTTTCCATCATATTAAATTAGAACATAGCTTTGAAAGCATTTAATTACAGAGAATGTCATGAACTTTCCCATGTTTAAAAATACCACTATGATTTTGAGGGGGGAACTAGAAAATGTGGTTAACAATCCATTGATTGTTATTGATTCAAAATATTGATTCAAAAACAAAAACAAGAAATATTGCCTTTGGTGTCAGAGTCAGTTTTTCCATGAATAAAATATTGGTTAAAACAAACAAAAGAACAAACAACAAAAACCTTGCCTACTCTGATAAACAAATCATAAGGAATATATCTTGACCAATATCTGCTCCAATGTGTTTGATGTTTGTGTTCAATGGCACCATTGTTTCGTTAACATTTGGATTATTAATTATATGAGACATATAAAAGAAGCCTGAAAGGTTTTACATCCATTGGTTAGCTTAAGCAATGTTCTGTCAAACCTTATGTGTTAGTCCTGATAGATTAGAGAAACAAATTCGTGTACACTCATATGTGCATAAGAAAGAGCTATATAAGAGCAATTGAATATTGAGAAAACATCCCAGTCCAGTCCAGATCAAGTCCATAAGTCTGATATTAGCCCATATGTCTGGTACCAATCTATAATGTCCTCTTCAGACTTACGAAACACATGCAATGACGCTGAATGCAGAAAGATCACAGGCCAGTGGGTGGGAAGTCTTGTGGACACTGTGGCATTGTAAGCATCTCAGCTCTGGCAGGGGTCTTCACGTGGCTTCTCCAGGTCCTGGGATCTTGCTGGCATCAGCATAGCTCCATGTGTCTTGTCAGCAGAGAGTCTCTCAGGGTGAGCCAAGAGAGAAAGTGTCTCCAAGGAGGAATACAGGAGTTCCCGTAACCCTCAGGAGAAGGCCATGCCCACACAGAGGGCTCATTGGCTATGATCTGATTGACAGGCTAGACTCCACCCCTACACTCTTAATCCACAGATTGACACCAGGTTCTGTATCTATCACACCTTATCAAAATTCTTATCTAATTCTAGTATAAAAGTTATAATGTCTTGACAATTATATTTGGCAGTATCCTAATAACCATGTCATCTCCTTTTAGTGAGTTCAGTGTTACAGAAACAATCAGTGGTTGACTAAAGGTATTACAGTCAAGTTTTCACTTTTGCAGATTTAATAAAGCCTAAATCAGAGGAGATAGCTATGAAAATAGCACAGGTTCACAATAATACCGCCACACTTAACATCACCCTTACCTGACACATGGGTTTATATGAGCGGATACCAACAAATTCCAAAACACACTGGAATTTGTTGTCAAAGCTATGTTTGTTTCTTTGTTTTTAACAAAACAACCTTATCGCTTTCAAAGTACTTTCCATCAAGCTTAATACATTTGTCAAATCTGTGATTCCATTCTTAAAAACATTTTTCAAAATCATCTGTTTGGATGGCTGACAAAACCTCCCTTGTTTGCTTTCACCTCCTCTATGTTATCAAATTGCTGCCCTTTCATGTCCCCCTTTGTTCTCAGAAACAAAAAGAAGTCACACAGAGTGAGGTCAGGTGAGTAAGGTGCATGACACAAAAGGCATGCTGGGTTTTTTTGCCAAAAACTGGCATATGTAGATAGCTGCATGAGCAGGTGGATTGTCGTGGTGACAAAACCAGCCGCCTGGCTGCCACAAATAAGACCTTTTTTGTTGCACACTGGTAAGCTATCTTTTCAAAAACTCCAAAAAGATAGCTTCATTAAAAGTCTGACCTGGTGGAACTAACTCCAAATGTACTGCAAGTCGACATTTTCATAGTTCACTAACTCAGAGCAAGTAGCCCTATGATTGCCCACCGGGGGGAACAAATGCATACTATGAAAGCTTAGCCCAACAGAGCGTTTTTCCCCATTTTCTGGGGGTACCCCTTCATATATAAACTTTAAATTACTAATTATTGAAGCATGAAGCTATTGAGTCCTTTATGGAAATCAAGGAGTCAATGGGTAGGGCAACCAAAATATTGGCAGTGAGAATCCACCCAGAAGTGCTTGGGGAGTAAGGTCTGGGGGCCACAGCCAGAAAAATCTTATAGAAAGTTCAAATCTGCAACATCAGGGTTTGGTGGCCATGAAGCTGGAATCCCGTGGAAGGGACTGAAAGGAATCACAATCCTTCTAGATGAGTTTTATCCATTCCCTTTTACTCTTTAAGATGATTTGAATTTTAGCCAACTGATTTGTTAGAGCCTCCATTGCGGTATGTAAAATGCTGTCCGCTCTACCTAATTACCCTGGTTGCTATGTAAACAAATAGGTAGAAAGCCTCAATGAAAACTTGAAAATGGAGAGACTCCGTAGTAAACACTGCATGTTTTGCGATGATGGTGTGTTTCTGTTGGTTCGCAAGCCCTCTCTAATCTTCAGCACCGGTGGCTTTCTGGTAAATTTCCAGAAGAGGTCACCCCCTGCTCTGGTTCCTCTGTTCAAGTTTCTGCTCACTGTGCAATGCCCTGCTTCTGTCCTCTAAGATTTTTTAAAATACCTAAATTATTTCGTCATTTGTGATTTTTTTAGGATACACACAGCAAAACATACACCTACTGAAAAAGTTCTCTGAGCATTGAGTGATGTTGATCGCAGTTTCTCATTGGACAACCCTTCTCACCCTCATCTCTGAGTTGCTGCTTCTCCATGAATATAAACTCACTACCCCGTAGAGTTCCTAATTAATGTTTTTAGTGGTATTATGAATTTTATCTCATTTACACAGACTGAAAAAAGCATAATGTTCAAAGCACATATTCTTTGTTAGTTAAGCGAACCATTAGTTTTAAGAATACTCAAAGGCTTTGTGATACATGCCTAACTGGTTCCAACCTGGTTCCTACCTCATGGTCTTTAACAGGATTTGTTATAGCCTGAAGTACTCTGGCCCCAAACGTTGGTATATTCCTTGCCTCACTTCATTCAGGCCTGTTTTCAACTGCACCTGAGAATGATTCCTTCCCACTGCTCTGCCTTGTTTTCATTGAATCACCAAGCTATCCATATTATATAACATACATTTTGGTCTTTGAATTGCCTTTCACACTAATTATTTTTTAAATCATTTTATTTGGGGGCTCTTACAACTCTTGTTACAAACCATACATCTATTGTATCTGCATAAGAAGGTAAAAAACAAACAAACTTCCATTCTTCATTTTTCATTGTCTCCACTAGTTTCTAGTTCATGGTATTCACCATGTAGATACATCTTCAATGGATGTAATTATAAATCCTGATCTATTTTACTTACAGTCTTGTGCGCAAGTCATATTGAGTTTTGTGGAACAAATCCTAATGCATTTCTCAAAATCGGTTTGCACTGGTTAGTTTTTGAATAGAACCAAACTTTTGGTTCAGATTTTTTCTAGAAATTATTCAATAGCTGTTTGGTATTTTAAGGTCTTTATACTCACCATTTAACCTTGATCGAGAGAGGGAAGATATGTTTAGAAAGCTGTCCCTAAAAACAAACTCACTGCCACCGAGTCAATACTGACTCATACCAACCTCCTATGGGATTCCGAGACTTGTTGTTTATGGGAATAGAAAGCGCAGTCCTTCTCTCCTGGAGCTGCTGGTGTATTCCAACTGCTGACCATGCTGAGCACAGTGCGATGCATAACCTCTCTACCACCAGGGCTCCGAGGAAGCCATGCCGTTCAACAAAAATATTTTTGATGATTACTGCATTTTTTAGAAAATTAATACATTCATATGAAGCATATTGAATGTGAAATTATATGAATGAGCTTTCTATTTCTGATTTTAAAGTGCAATTCATACTTAGGGTGGGACAGACAATGGGGTCTGATTATCTTTGATGGCAGAGAATCTTCAGTCAGATAGCTTTCAAATAGCTGACCTTCAAGTATAGCAGCCATGTGCCTGCAAGCAGCAACTTGGCATTATTATGGGGGTGCATAATGGGAAATTACTTTTCATTGGGAAAATGTAAGTGGAATACGTCTCTAACCCAAGATTAGGAAAGTTTCCTGCATGGGAGCCTGATCTCCCAGGCTACCTAAACTTGTGAATGTTGACAGACTGTCCTCATCCACTCTCGTCCAGGTTCCATTTCCCACAACTACGCATGCAGACAGGAATACATATCCAACAAGCAAAGGGAACACAAACTTACTTATTCTTATTTACTGTAGTGAACAGTTTGTGTGTTTTCCAGCACTTCTTTTTTTAATTTGAGGGAGATCAAAGCCTTCAGTCAGAGGATATGTTACAAAGACTGATGAGCACCTGTGATCTCAAGGCTGTGTATGAGAGGATCCCATGCACCTGCTACAAGGTAGAGCTCATACCCACACACAGAGCACACTGATCCTTATGTTGTTGTAGACTTTTCCCTTATCCCTTACCTCCCCATCCAACCCAGATCTGCCATAGTCAACTACTGCAGAGTATGAGCGAGAAAGGGGTAGATGTGTGTTAC